CGTGTATTATTTATAAAAAAAATAGATTAATCCGATAATAGTAGCATATTTAATATAATTTTTTGTGTGGATAATATACACAAAGTATTTAATAAAATAAATATTTTGAATTATCAGAATGAGACACGTAGGAGGCCCCACAAGTCCAGACAATGTTCTTCGATCTAGAGGCAATCCACCTCTATTTAAATATTAGAGACCAAAATGACAAATCTGGAAATTAAAAAGGAATAGGCTTCTCTCCAATTCATGTCCTGTTGGGCTTGGTGACAATTTTAACCATTTATTTTGTTCGATTAGATATGTAAATTATTTATAAAAAAAATTAAATTAATCCGATAATTATAACCCATAATTTTATCAGATTTATTAGTAAAAATAAAAATGCTCTATTTTTAAAATTATTTTTGTTGTTCATTTTTTTTTACAGACAAATATCATCAAAATATGTGAATATGTTTATCAAATTAATCTAATTTTTTTTATACACGAATAATCTACATATATATCCGGACAAAATTAATGATTTAAGTCATTGATTGAGGTAGGATTCATAATAGATCCCACATAACCCCTTAAATCCAATTAAAAATGTAATTAATCTTTAAAAACAAAAAAACAGTAGTGAAGTTACAAATTTGCAAAAGGTTGAGGAGATAATATGAAAATAATTAGTGTATAGTCAGTCCTGTGGGCTAAAACCATTGGCACCATTGTTTGAAAATGAAATAATGCCCCTGCAAAATCTGCAAATCATGACAGACACAGATTTTGTGGGTGGAAGTGTAGCTTAACCACCATAAACCAAACAAATAGACAAACAAACTCACCATGTTCTCACATTCGGTTGGTATTACAAAGCTAAACAAATCTTCTAAATGAATGAATACTTTTATTTTTTTTAAAATAATTTCAACTACACTTGAAGATATTTCTATAAAATAATAAACATTGAACTTGGACAGTATCTAATTTAGTCAATTACTTGAAAATAAATATGTGACCAAACAATTCGACCCTTAATGATGATTTTATAAGAATCTCTATTATTATCACTAGCAAAAATATACTGCAAAAATAGAATTATTATTTGTTAGTGTAAAGTATTGTAAAGAAATGATTAATTTATTCCATCTTAGCATCGATTTGCATGATTAAGAAAAATTAAAACTAAAGTATTTATTACCAATTGATTTTAGGTCAAGTGACATTAGTTGGTTTAACTAGGCCTTAAAACTAAAACTTTTTTCCTAACATCAATTACTTTCAAGAGTGATGGTCAAAACATAGGGCACAAAAATTTAAACAAAAGGAAAATTAAAGGACAATAGGGTTGGTTAAGATTTGGCAGACATGAAGCCTAATACTGAAAAGACAAACACTAGCACCTCAATGAAATTTATTGATTTAGGGAGTGACCAAATCTAGAGTTAATCTTTGATGTACAAGGATCACGATTATTAAAAAAAAAATAATTAATAAAAAACTTCTAAGCAATGCTGGCCTTTTCAATTATGTCACACAAATACCCACAAAAAGGGAAAAAAAAGAGAGGATAAATTGCACGAGTAGTCATTATATTTTGACTACTGTGTCATTTTGATTCCTGTAATTTTAATTGATTCAACTTTAACATTAAATTTTTGACTTTGTTTCAATTTGGTGTAAATGATTACAAGTGTTAGCATTATTTTATGAAAAATGAGCAAATGAACAACATGTGTCATGCTTTTAGAGGCAAAATTGTAAACTTGATCAATTTAGTGAGTTAACGTCAACCAATTTAGTAATCATTTTTTGTAAAAAAAAAAAAAAAACTAATGATATTGTCAATTGGATCAAATTAACATAAAATCTCAAATTAAATGTAAAAAATGAGTCAATTGAAATATAGCCAAAAAAAATCATATAAGGAGTTTAAAAAAAAAAAAAAATAGAAAGAAAATCCATCTGCAAGGGAAATAAAGAAACAGTAAATTAAAGAAGAAGGCAAACTGTGCATGATTTGCTAGTATTACCTAAAACCATGGAAAAAAAAGGGGGAAACAGTAAATTAATGATATTATTATTATTATTATTATAGTATAGTGCCATCCCACCTTATGATTTTCTTATACGATGAAGAAATTGAAATTTACTGTAATTGGCTTTGATGACTACAGTGCGCTTCACATAATATGAGGTATAATATCACACATCATTTAGGTTAATATGTCCTAGTCACAGGGTTTTTTTTAGTTACTTCAGAAATCGAAGGGCACAAAAATTGTTTTCTTGTCTGGAGAACAAAAAATAATATATGAAAAATGATTAGAATTTATAGGTATCATTACTGGTTTTATGACGTTTATAATTTATTATTTTGTTTATTATTAGGGAAATATTATGGTACATACCCTTCAAAGGGTGTACATCATATACACCTTATAATTAAAAAAAAATGTTATAATTTTAATTTTTTAAGCCATTCATATATATATATATATATATATATACCTTATAACTAAAAGAAAAATAGAATAACTTTAATTTTCTAGGCCATAACTAGAAAAAAAGAAAAAATATCAAAACTAAATACAATATGAGTCATAACTAAATCAAAAATTTGGTCATAACTAAATAAGAAAATGACATAATTAAGAGTGCATATGGTACATTCTTTTTAAAAAGGTGTATATTAAAAATTTTCAATTATAAAACATGTTCATATATATATTTTTTTGTTATAAATTTTTTTTTGCTTGGCACTCATTGTTTTGAGAACGTATAAATGTGAGTGATTGGAGAGGGTCATTTCTAAGGTGATTGCCAAAAGTGGTTTTCAACTGTGTATCTGGTGGCCATGGTTGATGTGGCATAACTTTAAATATTTTGTATTTTGTTTAAAAATTGATAATCGAATGACATAAATAATATATACAAAAATAAAATGTGATGTGTAAATAGAATTATATGTAAGGGTCTCATCACAAGCAAAAATACTAAATAGTGTAAAAATCAATAAAATGTGATGTGCAATTAGAATTATAGGTAAGGGCTTCGTGACAAGCAAAAATACTAAATAGTGTGAAAATCAAGTATACCTACAAGAATGGGAGAAAAACATGAGGCAATAGAAAATTATTGGATAGGTTCAGTCTACTAAGTGGTTTTTTTGATTCAAAGTCTACGAAGTAGTTATGTGTCCGTATTAGAGGCACATAAATTATTTCGTAGTCCAATCACATGATCATTTTATCAATAAAATATATATATATATATATATATAATTATATAAGTTAAGTCTGCTTAATGGTCATGTGTATGTCCTAAAGACATGATTATCAAAGCTGAAAATAGAGAACATAACAATCATGTATTGACCTATTATTGAGAGGGTACATTACGTGTTTGCTAGATAACTTATAAAATAATTTCTCCAATTATAGAAAAAAAATATTAAGTGTAACACCAATTAATAAAATACATTAAAAATAGATTAAACAAACAAATTTTATCTCCGGCTAATCTAATTATGTTGGTGTTCCTATCTTAAAGTAAGATTGCTCAATAAATCGTAATATTATCAGTATTATCACCATTAATTATAGAGTTTTTACCAACACTAGAGGCACAAAACTTTTTCAATATGCAAATTGTTTAGCATTAGCATTAGCATAGTGTATCATTACATGTGCTTAGCATTTGGTTTTCAAATTTAAAAATACACAATTTGGCAGTTAATCAATAAGTAGAGCTATGAATTCATTTTGGTGTTTTGGTGAATCATTTGTTTAGGCCATTTTTAAATGTCAAGACCCCACAAAATACTACCTAATTTGGGAAGTGGATGGATGGATGGAGACCTTGTAAGGTTCAATTGCTTTACTTCTTTGTTAAGAAATGACACAACAGAAGACAACATGACTAAGGTTTTCATTACTTAGTCTCTACATATTGTAACATCTCTCAAGGAACTATACTTTATGCAAAGGACATTTTGAGATTATATTTGTTCTCATTCAAAATAATTTATTGTTGCCTTCAAAGTAATTCACATTCAAAATATAAGATAGTGTAATTTCAGAAACTTTAATTGTTAGATATATTTAGTTTTGAATTTTTAAAACTAATTTTGAGTTTTTATTTTTCGTATTTTGTTGTTTTAGTAAACTTTTTTTTTTTTTTTTATATTTTAGCCAATTTTTTAAAAAATATTTCTTAGACGCACTTAATCTAAATTTACTTAAAAAATAAAGGATAAATTACAAATACATCTCATGAGATTTGTTTAAAATACAATTTACCCCTATGATTTTGGAAATTACATCCCGTCCCATGAAACTTTTAATTTCATAACAAATAGCCAATTCCATTAATAAATTATCAAGTCAATTAACAGTTTTTAATGATATCATAAATTTATTTCAATAAATAATTCATGTAATTTTATCATTGTATAGGAGAGCAGTTAAGAATTTTATTTTCTCAGTCAATTCTGTTAAATAAAAAATTATTATAAAGGGGTATTTATAATTTTTCAAACCATAGAGGACAATTCGTATTTTAAACAAATCACAAGGAGTGTATTTGTAAATTACCCAAAAATTAAATTATTTGTGAAGAAAATTTTAAAAAATTGAGCAATAAAAAAAGTACTATTTAAAAATATTTTTTGTATTTATTATTTTTTTAATTTTATAATTTTTAACTATATGTACATTAAATAAATTTTAAAAGGAAAAAAGAATACTACTAAAACTAAAAAATACGAATTAAAATTTAAAAAATTATTTTTGTAAATCTAAAACTAAAGAGTTGTAATTAGTGGTTCTCTATTTAAATTTTGGGTTTTTGTGTTTTGAAAATAAAACACTAAAAAATGCCAAAATCACATATATTATATATTGTACAAAAATATATATATTTTTTAAATTCAAGAAACAATTTGTGGAGGACTTTGAAACCCTATCTACACCTCCAATTTTGACAAACAAAAACATGTCATTTTCTTTCTTTCTTTCTCGTGCATCTTTTAAAAAAAGAAAACAAAATTTATTAATGTTCTCAATTTCTTCAGTTGATAACAGCACAAAACCTAATTTCCTTTGCTTTTGGTCAGACAGAAAGATGAAAGAAAAACAGCTATAAATGAGAGTTGGTTTGTGATTTATTTTCACCAACGACTGGCATACTCTCTTTAACTCTTTCCTTCCCTTATATACCCTTTAAATTCTATATATACATATTTCTATTTTATATCTCCTTGAACTAGGTTTTGATTTTCCTGATCATCGATGGAGGTTTATGGATACCCATCTCATTCTCTGCCTTCTTCGTCTTCAACTTCTTCATTTTCCTTCTGCAATTTGATCGACAAGGTTAAAGAATTCTTCAGATTCGCTCTTTCCGCGATTGTTGGGAATGTCTTCTCTGCGATCTTCACTTTTTTCTTCGCATTAGGTGCGTATATCCTCCTTCAATTCCCTCCATTTCTTTGTTACTTCTGATCAAATGGGTGTTGATTTCTAATCTGTTTGTGTTTTCTGACCTGGGTTTGCAGTCAATTGAATTGGGTTGTTATTGTAAATGTAATCTCCTCTGCAATCATTTAACCCTTTGGTGTTTGATAATTTGGGTTTTTTTCTTCTTCTTTTTTTTACAATTATGTATTCAAATTTTCTGAAAAAGAAATGTTTTTTTAGGGTTTTAGAGATGTAACTATCATTGTTTTGTTGGATTTGAGTTGTGATGATGGAAGAATTTTGCATATTAACAAAGGGTTTGTCTATTTTTGTTATTCAAGTATACTTAGAACTTGGAATTTGTGGAGTGGCTACATTATCAAAGAGCCCTAATATTTTCTTCAAGCTGTTAACTAATTAAAGAATTGCCCTTTTGGCTACAGTGGGCACCTTATTAGGAGCCATGACTGGAGCTTTGATAGGCCAAGAGACAGAGAGCGGGTTTGTACGTGGGGCTGCTGTTGGAGCCATCTCTGGAGCTGTTTTCTCAATTGAGGTTTTTGAATCTTCACTTGTTCTCTGGCAAACGGATGAATCTGGAATTGGGTGTTTGCTATACTTGGTAAAACCACCTATCTTCTCACCCCTTTCATTATCCCTGCTGATTTTAGTTTATATAAGTTCATTCATTCTGAATTCTGCAAAATTATTCTCAAATTTTAACTTTGTATTTGTACCACTCGATGAATCTTTTGAATTGTTCAGATTGATGTTATTGCAAGCCTTCTAAGTGGTAGACTTGTTCGTGAGAGGATTGGTCCGGCCATGCTAAGTGCAGTGCAAAGTCAGGTACTTTCTAACCCAATTTTACTAGCTGTTTAAAGGCTTTAACAACAATGGCAAATGCCAACTTTTGTTTGCTGACAATTTCATTGTGTTTAATCAGATGGGTGCTGTTGAACCGAGCTTCGATGAGGTTCACAATATTTTTGATACTGGGAGCGCTAAAGGTTTACCTGGAGATTCAGTTGAAAGGATCCCAAAGATCAAAATCACTAGCAATAACAATGTAGATGCTTCCGGGGAGAAAGCATCATGCTCAGTGTGCCTTCAGGTATGGGCATAGTGTTGCTTCAAATTGCTTTTTCTTTTTTCTTTTTTCTAAACGTGTAAACATATTTGTGAAGAATCTTGTTCAATCAACATTGTGTATTTTATATTTTCAGGACTTTCAGGTCGGAGAGACTGTTAGAAGTTTGCCTCATTGTCATCACATGTTTCACCTGCCTTGCATTGATAAATGGCTGGTGAGGCATGGTTCTTGTCCCTTATGCAGAAGGGATCTGTAGTTAATGTAAACTATAACAAGATGAGTTCTTTTATTATTTCTTAGTCGTAGAATTTCTCTGTTTTGTTCTTGAAGCACTAGCTAGACCTCCCCCCCCCCCCCCCCCCCTTTCGGACAACAGCCTCGTGTAATTAGTTTGAGTGCGGTGTATCGTGAGCTGGGTCATTGTACTTTATCAGCATTCTGTATAAAAATTTTGCGTCATTAATATTTATTTGTTTCTGTTTTTATCGTTGTTTAGCAATTCTTCTTTGTCCCCTTCGATGTTAATAAATTGGCCCCAACCCTAATACAATTCCATACTGCTTTTGCACTTGGGGAATAGTTTTAAAAAGGTGCTTTCATTTCTGGTTGCATTCAGAATATTTCCCTCATTTTTCAGTGAGACAGATAGAACCAGACTTCAATTTGGCTCCTTTTTAGGATCATGATTGTTTAGAAGTTAAATAATCAGCTATATGGCTTGCCATTACCATCATTGGTGGTACAGTTCGAGTCATAGGAGCAATATCTCAATAAACCGGTGACATACATTTTCCTTTTTTTCTAAGCCCATTTTAGCGGAAGACTCATGAATTAGGTCACGTTACCCTTTTGTTTTGTTTTCTCTGTTCTTATTTATTTATTTTGCATGGTTTGCCCAACCTCTAGCTCATACCGTTCTTCCATATTTATAGACCTGAACCGTACACTTCTCTCAGATGGTGTTGGAGATTCCACTTGAGCTGTCAGCTTGGGTTGCTTTGGTACCTAATTAGATTCCATTCTAGTGTGTTTGATTACCTTGTGAAGGATCACCAGGTTAGACCTTGGGTGATGGCCAGTGGTCTTGTAGCCGCCCTTGATGTGGTATGGTCCTACCTAGGTTTGAGTCGATAGAATGATGTTCTTCGTCTGTATAATGATAATCTAACCCACCCATTAATATCCTATCTCTAGCACACCAAAAATAAATTTAAAAAAAACCAAAAAAATTGAATCACCAAGTTCCTACCTACATTGTGTAACCGTTTGACATTCAAACGGCTGGCAGAGGATCAACCGGATAGACCAGATATTTTTTGTATACCACAGTTGTGTATGTGGTTCTCTCACATAGAGATAAAGACCTATCCCTATACGAGACAGTAAGATAAACCAAGTTGGAGTGTACCCACTACAGATGCAGCTTTCTCACAGTGAATGAATGCTATGAAATGACCTTGTTTGGCGTAACATTTTTAAAGTTGAAATTTGATACTTAGAAAGTAAAAGCTAAAATCAATCATTTATTAAATTGCAATTATTTGACTGTTTTTAAAACCAATATCAGTTATTTTTACCAAACAACACCAGTGTAGGATGAGGAATTTGTCAGCCGACACTGCATCTTTCGTTTTCCATGTTTTGCCGACTTTTGGTCCGCCTTTTCCTGCCTAATTGTCACCTTCCCTTTTATAAAAAAAATTGTTGCAAAGTCTCATCTGAACAACTCTCCTGGAAGGAACACTGGGTCCAACTGAAACTTCCGTGAACGGAGGCTTGATATTTGAAACTTTGCATACCATAAAGTTTGAATCTCAACGTGAATGTTTCAATCCTTTATCCCTGGCTTGGCTTGATCAAATCTTATGTTAGCTTTTGAACTGATTCTCAGCATTAATCACTGAAGAGAATTTATTAGCCCCAGTGATCTTTTAGCTAGGAAATTTCCTCCTCTCTTAGTAATTAATTATTCAATAATTCCAAAATATCTACTCACTATCCCGTTTGTTTTGAGAGATAGAATGGAGGGGATTGATAATGAGAGGATTAATAGTGAGAGGATTGTTAGTGAGGGGATTGATAGTGAGGGGATTAATAATGAGGAATTGTTAAATTATTTTTATATAAAATAATAAAACAAATAAAAAAATATAAAAAATTAAACATTATATTTAAAAAAAAATTCTCAATATATAAAAAATAAAAAAATTTCTAATCCTCTCACTATTTTCTAATACTATCTCTACCTCCTCCTTACCAATCCCCCTTCCAAGGGTATTAGCAATACCAAGGGACTAACAGTCCCAACCTTTTCTCTGTAAACAAACAGGGGCTTTAGTAATACCTTGGTGTTACTAGTCCCAATACCCTCCCTATAGCCCAAAACAAACGGGGCCATATAGTGCTCCTTATCAATGAATAAGAGTTGTTGGGTATACAATGCTGCTCTTTATGACTGTTCTAAAGATAAACTTATTTGTGTAGTGTCGAATGCAACGACACTAATTAGTTTGAAAGTAAAAAGTAAAAACATCATTTGTGGATGTATTTCCATCTCCGATGGCGATGGCGATGGCGGCGGAGTTGGACAATAGCGATAGGAACGACGTCGATGGGGACCACGGGCTTTAAAGTAGATCTTGCTTTTCAGACCACATTTTGAGCAGATCGGTAGTTTTCTCTGGATCGTAATATTTTTTTTGGCGGATTTGTTTTTTTGTTGTTGGTTTTTTGTTTTGTTATTTAGTTGGGATGGCCCTTTAAAGTCTTATTTATGTACTGTTATTGTTTTATTAATATAATATTTTACATATTCTCAAGAAAAAAAGTTGTCATAAATTCGAATATAATATTTTACATATTCTCAAGAAAAAAAGTTGTCATAAATTCGTGACACGAGAGCATAAAAGAAGGGATTGTTAGGTATATAATCTCACTACTTATGACTATAAGCACATGGTACTTCTAGACTACTAAATACATCTTTACATGCCTCATAATCTTGTTTGGTTATGGAAGCTTGAGGGTTCGTTTGGGATGTGGGTTGACTTTTTGATTTTTGACTGTTTTAGTTTGGGACTAAAAAATTTTGTTTGGGATATATTTTTTGATTTTTTTGACTTTTGTGAAAGAAAAAATAAAATGATTATGGTTTGAATGTAACATTTCGCTTTATTGATTCTTTAACATATTTTATTTTTTTGTAACTAAAATAATCCAAAAATTAAATTTTTTGACATGCCAGACGATGGCGGAATAATCTTGGTGGGATTCTTTTGATCCTGCTAGCTTGGTGGGATTTTAGAACCTTTCAAACTACTTACAATCATATTAGCCTTTTGCTATTACGATGCTGAATGCTCTCCAATTATGAATTCTTAGCTAGACCACATTGTGGTAGTTTGTTTGCACTGATTAAAGTGCAAGGACAAGAAAGAACTAAGGACAAGGTTAACTTGAAAGAGCATAAATGGCCAATCCAAGTATGTGTGTTTTCTTTAAAGTGGATTACAGCAGTGGTAATAAAAAAAAATTGTAATGATTATGGAAAGGGCTTGGTTTGAAAATGGTTTTTTAGTTTTTTAGTTTTTTTGACTTTTTTTATGAGGGAAGAGTGTAATGATGGAAAATGCGGGGGATCCCCAGTACGGGGCGACCCCCAGCGACCCCCCAGCCCATGTGGCTGTGGGTGATTGGTAGGAAAGAAAGAAAAAAAAAAAAAAAAAAAAACTGGCCAATGGCGTTGCGCCACGTCACTGGGGGTCGACCCCCAGTGGGGGTCTGTAGCAGTGTTGGTGTAATGATTATGGGTTAGATGTGATATTTTATTTTTTGTGACTAAAATAGCCTATTTTATCTTTTGTGGCTAAAATAGCTAAAAAAACCTATTTTAACTCTTCCCAAACAATGCCTAAGGATAACTTGCACTCTTCTATATTTCAAAAAAAATAAAATAAAATTATGTGTCACTGACATGTAATTCCCCTCTCTTTAAATCACATGTCAGCAAAATGATGTGAATCTGACATCTCTGGCTTGCACCAAAGCCATGGTGGGCTTTGCTAGGTCCGGTACAATGCGTTGCGTTGGGATCCTCTAGAGTGATTTGGTGAAGTAATCCTTTGGAGTGATTTTTTATGGCACGACATGTATCCCACTAATGAAGCTAATGGTTGAGATTAATCTCTCACAAAAACGACGTCGTTTTGGTGATCCAAAAAAAAAAAAAAATTTTGATTTTACAGTTCGAATGTGATAGGAGAGAGAGAGAGAGGAAAAAAACCAAAGAGAGAAGGGACTGAGGAAGAATTTCAAATACAAATCATCTTCACATAGCAAAGATAATTTTACATAGCAAGGATCTACGAATACAAATCAAAGATTTGCAAATACAAATCAAAGATCTTCACATAGGGATTAAGCTCTGCAAAACCTTGAAGAACAGCTTTGTCGGTGTCAATGGCGGCGACGGCGACCACTTGGTCCCCCACCATTGTTGACGGTCGCTAGTTGCTCCCCAACCCTCCTCCAGCCAACCATCCTTTACCCCACCCCTCCGTCTCCATCCATCGCCGGATTGTTCCATTACCAAATTGAACTCAAAATCTATAAGGAAAAAAAAAAAAATAGTCTCAACAAATCTAGATCGAAGAGAGAAGATCAATTGAAAAAAGTCATCAAAATTGGAAGATCAATTGATAGTTTACACATAATTTTGAAATTAATTTTATTTTTTTTCTTTGAATCTTGTTCCCAAATATATATATATATATATATATACACACACACATTTTGAAGCCTCTGTTTTTCTTTTTGTTCTATCACACAAACACCCACCTGTGTGTTCCTTGAAGTTTCTTAAAGAATAGCTTCGCTAGCGAGACATCGTTGATCCGCTCGAGAGCCAAAATGAGTACTTGGGTGCCCAAGTCACCTTCCCCATAAGCCTTGAGAGAAAGATAAAGTTGTTGAGCTAATCTCAATCCAACCAAAGCAAGGCCCATATTCTGACACTCATTAAAACAAATCCCCAAATCTGTCACAAAAAATGCAGCTTCCAAATCCCTATTCAAAATCCTAGTCCCATAAAATAAATCGATTTCGAACCAGCAACACCAGTGGAAATCACATCCAAATACAGAGACAATTCGAGTCTAGCCTTGTGAGCATAAATCAAACCCTCCATTTCCTTCTTCCTCACCCTCTTCTCTCTGTGTTTGCACTACTGAAAGTCTAAAACCCAGAATTTTTTTTTTTTTTTTGGATCACCAAAACGACGTCGTTTTGGTGAAGGATTAATCTCGGCCATTGGCTTTATTAGTAGGATAGGTGTCGCGCCATAAAGGATCACTCTAGAGGATCACTTCACCAAATCACTCTAGAGGAACCCAACGCAGGTACAATAACACCAAGCAGAGCTAATTAGTGATGGTTGGAATTTTTTTAAAATTTTAAATCAACAAAAATGATACATTCTTTTAATTTGGG